TCCTTTAGGAGAATATTTAGCTAAAGGGGTTAATGATCCCCATATTAAGCCTTAAGACATTGCAGCTTCCCGTTGTGGCTCTGTGTTTTGTTTCACTGTGTCTCACGGCGCAGTCTGTGTGACTGCAGCCTTGTGACAGCTGACTTCCGCTTTCATTGGGAAAGGGACAGGGAGCCAGTACTTTCGATTCACTTGAAATATGGGACAGAGTGCTTATATGTCCACACGTTTGCACGCACACATGTGGATACACAGACACACTCAACCATAAATATTCTGCCTTCCTACTTTAACCCTAAACTTCATCTTGCCGGTGCATCTTGCCTTGGAGACCGGGCTCATTCCGGTCCCATTTGCACCGAAAGCGGTAGGCAGAAGCCGTGGTGCACAGGTATTATTTCCTCAGTAACCTGCCACTCGCTGGTCCAAAGCAATTAATACAGTTTCCCAGAGACCCTTCCTTTTCTCAGGGCAAAGTCCACACACTGAAGACTCTAAACAAAAAACGAAACGTCGAATGCTGTGGCAGAAACACAAACGTTGCAGGGTTATTTGAAATATCCTTTTCCCGGTAAAACAGTTTTCCCAGTTAACGATTCATTTAATTTTAAAGATACTCTTTTTTAAATTTGTAAGATTTTCACGGAATTGAGTAAGTTCTGGATTTTCAAAAGATTTAGCTTCTTAGACATATTTTATAGTTCAAGAATTTGTTTAAAAATATACTAATGGCTTATGACTTTTCTGACTAAAATATAGATTTGCTGTTACACAGTTTAAATTACATTTTAATTTCACCTCACTCCTTATAGGAACTATAACTCCAGTTGGATTATTTATGTGTCCAAGAATATAAGAGATTATGTTTTTAATTAGGGTTTTTGGTGTGTGAAGATAAATTCAAAATTATCCTTGAATATTTTCAGTGTGTATGCAGTTTAATGTCAAGTCACCAAGCAAAGATTTTAATATATAACTGATTTTAATATATAACAAGCATTTCCTGAAGAAGTTATTCGGTATGTGAGTGAAATCAGTGTGTAATTAATTTCCTCTGTTAAAAAACATCTCCGTTTTTCCCTCCACACAGTGAACATGGCCACAAGCAGGCTAATAGGTGCCGTGGCCGGCACCATTCTGGCCCTGGGGGTGATTTTTGGAGGCACAGGGTGGGGAATAGAGTAAGCATCTTTATGCGTTTCCGAGTGTTTCCGTGTGGTTCCCGGTGTGTGAGCTGACCCCTGTGTCGTCTCGTTGATGTGTTTCCCGTGGTCGTGCCACTTGTGGTGTGACTTGGATGTGTTCGTGTCGTGCTGTCTCCTCGTGCAGTGGAGAACCTTCTCCTGTCTGGGACAATGTGGGGCACAAAAAAATATCGGGGTGCTTAGGGTGTTTTCCTAATTGAAGCGATGGTCCCAAAGCTTCCATTGCTCCTCCACTTGTAAAAGCCATTTTAAAATACAGACTTTTTTCCCCTTACTATTTATTGGCAAAAATGCTTTCGTATGAGTGTTTTATTAGGATTCTTATAACAAATTGAATCATCACCAGTCAAATAGGTTCACAAAAACAATGAGGAATTATCAACAATTGTAGCTCTTTTTAAAGACGATCTGAATGACAGACTCTAATATTTTCTCCATTGATTGAGAGTGATATAGCAGTCTTTATCTTAATTTGTTTTTGAAAAGAAGATTTTCAGGATATTGCCCATTTTATTATAAAAAGGGTTAATAATTGAAATTTGAAGTTTACATATATATTTGGGAGCAGGCATTTTAAGAATGAAAAGATACTTAATCCACACCAGCAAAATCTAAAGTTGGAACTACCTGGTGGGTTTGTCTTACAAGTAGCCAGTGTCTGCATCAGTGTCCTGCACGCCACGTGCCCGTCGAGCCCTCACGGAAGTACAGCTCTCCCGGTGCCTTTACTGCGGCTGCTCTGTCCTTGAGCTGTATCCTCCGAAGAGCCATCAGTTCCCGGGGGCACAGCGCTGTCGTGAGATGGCTGCTCTGTAGACTAACAGATGATCACGATTATTTCTAATTTCAGGGATATCATTTACAAGAAAGAAAAATAGTCCTTCCCATGCCGTCTTTTCTACTCACTGTGGTGGTGATAACACTTGACAGCGGCCCAGGGACAAAATTACTAGTCTCTCAAGGAATCACCAGATGTCCTCCAATCAGCCAGCCCAGACCATAGGCATGTTGAGAGCATCACACGTGGTCCTCCTTAGTGTCGCTGATCTGCAGCACACAGATGCTCTCCTGCCGAGCTGGGTCTGGGAGACCCAGGGACCTGAACAGCAGTACGAGGGAGCAGCTCCACGGGCTCCATGTTGTGTGGTCTACCCAAGCCTTCTCTCCTGGGTCAAGGAAGGGCTTTGATTAGACCTGGATTTTCTAAGTCACATCCCATCAGTGTGGACTGTGAGGCTAGTTAACCCCAGGGAAGCTAGAAATACTGGAAAAGAGATTTGGTGTCTCCATACCTGTTAAAAAATAAAGTATATATGAAGTAAAATATGTAGACAAAACAAACTTTGTCCTATAAAATTTCACCTTGGGTCTGTTGACTGGATTACATACAGAAGTAACATTCCTCTTCCAGGGAAAAAATTCTCCACATACATTTATGTGAAAATCCTCCTTAAAAGAAAGGTGGTTTTTAAAAAAATCTTCTCCAACTCCATTTTTATGTAATTTATTGGCTTTACTAATGGAAGGGATGAATTTTAGTAATTCTCCCTTTGGGTCGTAGAGCTGGACCTTTGTTGCAAAGCGTAGTCCTTGTCACCCTCCCCTCCCAGTGTTGCTGGTTTGTGACTCTTCCTGGTCGCGACAGGTAAGTCTGTGTACGTGTATATATTTTTTCTAAAAATAGATATTGTTCTTGGCTTATACAGTGTTTTAGGTATTAGTTTACTGATTTTTTCCTTCAAATTCTAAATTTTGCCATAATTTCTGAAAAAGTAAATACAGTATAAAAAAATAAAATCCACATAGTGCAGTGTAGTTTTAACACTGACTAATTTAACGGGTAGTGTGATGTGTATTTAGTCACTAAGGATTCCATGGACAGGGGTTTTGTTTTGTCTTGCTTTATTTCTACCCCTGTGTTTATAATTGTAAATCAGGAATTGTTTCTCATGGGCTATGTACTGATTCTAATTCCAGCCTGTTTTCTGAGCTAGTAATGTGCAAATCATGTCTAAAACATGATAATATAAATAGTTATTATAAATGTTTGTTTGAAAATGCGATTCCCTGTTAAACTTTGCACAGGAAAATGGAATAATCTTTCATTAACGCAGGGGTTAGTGACATTTCTGTGAAAGGCCTGGTGGCAAATAGTGGTGGCTTTCCAGGTGACAGGGTGTCTCTCACAACCGTGCAGCTCTGCTGTCTTAGCATAAATGCAGCTGTAAGCCCCGTGAGTGAGTGTGGCTGTGTGCCAGTAAAGTCTCTTTGAAAAAATAGGAGGGCCACAGTTGGTCCGTGGGGTGTAATTTGCTGACCCTTGAGGTATACTGTAAGCTTCGGAGCTATACAAATCAGGGTTCAGATCTTGCCTCCATCATGCATTGACTTCTAGAAGCCTCTATTTTTCCCTCTATGAATCAGGGAGAGGCATAGTCCCTGTCTCTTCTGGTATCGTGAGATCAAATGAGATAATGTCAAGTCCTTAGAAGTGCTCTCACTTAGTAAAGATACAGTGTATAGTAGTTACCTGCTTTTACTGCTCTCGTTATTGTTTATTATCACTGGTATCTCTAAAGGCCACTGAGACCTATGTTCTGCAGGACCTCAGTGCTTAGTCTTACGAGTGTGTCCAAACTCAGGAGCCTGAAGGGACTGCATCCCTGAGACTCCCATTTTAAGCATCCTCCTCCACCTTCCCGTCGCGCCCACAAGCACGGGGTAGTCTCTGAGTACAAGCATAACACCGCACACAGTTTTAGTGCTGCTGAAAGTGGCATCCATTTATGTACACAGTCGACGGCACTGATGTGAGCAGAAAAGAGAATTTTTTACACAGCAGCGGATGTGTACACGAACCCAAGGATTTTAGGGGAACTACCAAAATTGGCCTTGTGACTTTGGGAACAGGGACCTACGGTGAGGAAAGAAAGTATTTTGCTGTTAAGGTGCACTGTGCCTGCATATCAGCGTCCTGTAACCTGGGCTATTTCAAATAATTCTTTGACTAGAGTTAATGTTGCTTACATTTAAGAAACATGAGCCAAGGTGTTTTCCATGTGAGTGGAGAGGGTGTACTGGAATATATATATCATCTCCTCCTCAAACAGTTGATAGGAATTCCACTTTCTTTTTTTTATTTCATTCAAATTACCTGAGTTTTATGCTTCCTTCCTCTTGCCTTTGGATCCCCATGTTACTGTTTAAACACTGCCCGAGTCTGTGCCATGAAGAAGTGTATCTTTGAGAACAAGGCTTCAGAGTCAGACCTTTGTTGGTAACCTCCTTCTGACTTCTGAATTTTAACTGTCTCCCAGTGGGGGATAAGAAATTTAGCACTCAGATGACTCTATGTGCTGCTTGAAAGAACATTTCAGTAGAATATTTTTCCTTCTTTTCATGCACTCATTTGCCAGCAGGTTGAGCTGATTCTAACCCAGTCGGGATCTTGATGGGTTCTTTTACTTGTTTGATTCATGACACGGGGGAAGGGGAGGAGGAGAGAGACGTGCAATGACAGTGACTGGGGCATATTTGCTTCAAATTCTGTGAAAGGTGACTTCAATGGGATTTAATTGTTGGTGGTGCAGAAACCTTAGACGACAGGCATTCGAATCCAAGCGGTAGCTCTCCACAGCATCGAGTGAAATGAAGCTGAGTAAATAAAGGTGGTTTGTGTGTCCAGCAGTCTTTTATGCAGGGTGTTGACTTCCTGAAACCGCTCAACTGCCTTTCCCTTGTGGTCATGAAAGTGGTTGGCTCATATGACTTTCTTCCCATGATCCTTTGTCACAGGTCCTAGTGCCACCAATCTCATAATAGGCTCCATCGCTGGTGCCATCCTGGTAGCAGCTATTGTCCTTGGGGGCACAGGATGGGGATTTAAGTAAGCAACGCCGCATGCCTTCTTCTCAGTGGCTCTGGCACTTCTCTTTTCTGCTTACATAACCACGTTTTGAGTTCCTGCTACAAGTCTTAACAGTAAAACTGATTAAAAGAAGTATTTTCTTTATTCCCAAATGAGTCAGAAAAGAAGAAACTTGAAAACTCAAATTTCATCATCTGGCAAGTAGGAAAACAGGAAATGTAGAAGGAATTCCCATGCACTGGATTAAGGAGAAGGAAGTGGAAGCTCTTTAACAGAAGACGTGCCAGCCTTTTGGAGCAACATTCTGAGACACATTTGCTTATACACAGTTAATCGAGGAGACGATGTAGTTGGAAATGGTGGATAGAAACCTCTTGTGTCTGTTTAAAACTGGTTTAGAGTCCATTGACGTTTTGAAATTTTCACAACCTAAGTAACCATTTGTTCATTATTTTTTACCTGTAACATATGTAGCTTTATGATTTGAAAAGCTTCAGTATTTTATAAAACAGATTTTCAAACAGATTTTCCTTAATTCCCTAACCAACTGAATTAGCTTCACGGTGGAATTTAAAATCTGTGGGTGTGTCATACTTAAGTTTCTAATTAGCTGCTAATATCGGCATGACTGGTGGGCCTGGGGTGTTTTCATAGTACCCCTTAGTTTGGATTGTACATTGATCCCTGAGCTAAGTTCGTTTCAACAGACATGCCAGGTAATCACAAATAACCCTCAAGTACGATTAAAATTTTCAAACCTTTATTGAGCTTGGATGTTTCCATACTGCAGATTCATTGGGTAATTGCTTTTTCTTTCTTTCTTTTTTTTAGCTTTTCATGCTTCAATGACTTACGATTTGTACATAAGACCTTCTGTGCCAAATGTTCCTTGTGATAAATTAAATTTCAACCAGATCTATAGAAACAAATTTAAGTAGGAAATAAGACCGTTACCCAAATTCAAAACTCACTTTGCCTTCGTCTGGTTACTCAATAGAGGAAGTTTCTGACCTGAACTGTCTGAACAATTGCCTTAATTAGGAAGTTTAGTTCGTTTTGTATTTGGAATTCTGAATTCAGTATATTTACAGCAGCTAAAGTGTTATTATTAGAAAATGATTATGAAAAAAAACACAAACCAAAAGATGATTTAAATAAATTCAAACCTACAAGTCTTTGAGTGATTTCAACTTGAGAGCTATTATCAAATAGTACCTCTTTTCTACAGAGATATTTATAAACTTGAACTTGTTTGATGGAACAGTAGTTTGGGCATCCACATTTTTTCAAAAGCGCACTCCAAATGGGCAACTCATGTTGGAATGTCTCATCATTGTATTAACAAGACATTGCCCAGATATTGAATCACTCATGTGGCACATAATAAAACAACATATTTTTATTTGAACTGGCCTAATTCAGGCAAAAATGTTCTTCGTGTCTTCCTGCTGTAAACAGGTCACTGTACATTCCAGTTTTTCCATGATCTGTTATTTTATAATGCCCCCTTGAAGTTTTTCATAAATATGCTCCAAGAAAGATAAATTTGGCTTATGCTCAGGCACTGGGAAATCTCAGTTTCAAAGGCCTGGAAAACGTGCTGCTGTGCATCTTTGTGTATCTCTGTCATCCAGCCCTAGGCAACACCAAATTTCCCATTTCAGCATTTGGAGATAAAACCTCTCTTCTGTAGCAGGACCTCAAAACAGCGGCCTGGCCTAGCTCACAGCTTGAATTGCATGTTTCTTTGGGGAAAACTAGAAAAGCCTTTTATCACTGTGTATATAAGTGGATTAAGCCCTGTCCAGATTGTTTATATCAGGAAGAGGTGTCTCAGCCATCAGATGAGCAGCAAAAGGGTGGTGGGGAGGGACCCTCAGCGAGGCATGGGAATGCTGTGCAGGCGCATACTGGCGGGCTAGGTCAGTGCCCCTTCCCACACCCTATGACCCTAATAAAGAAAAAAAATTGCAGAAAGGGCCAGAACAGTGTGAAGTAAAAATTTTTGTGCTCTGAAAGAAAATGAAGAAGTGAAATAACTTCAGGAGTTTAAATGTGGAGGAACTGCTGCTTTTTGTGCTATGGGTTGCAACAATGAGGCTCTGAATTTGCTTTCAACTTTCATAGCAGCTACGTGGTTTATGCTCAGCATTAAAGAACTACTTCAACTTTGCAATAAAGGACTTTGGGTGACGAATGATAAAGTTTAGGTTTCCTCACCCCTTGGGCAGTCAGGGAGATGATTAGTTTCAATATGCTTTGGATGTATATTTGCTAGCAGAACGGAAAGCCTTTGAGTTTTTCATTGAGCTCAATGTGGATACAGAAGAGTTCCCTTCAGAATCCAAAGTTCAAAACTAGTTTTGAAGATTGCTCTAAATACCTTTGTGAGAAATCCCTCTTGCCTTCAGGTTTTTATGACTAGGAGAGACATTAACAAAGAAACTTGAGGGGTTTTTGGGCACGTAAATTTTCAGGTTAAAGGGCGATGTAGAAGCACTCGGGGTGAGGCTGAGGGGGTGGGTGTTGCTTTTTCCTCAGGTGTGTTTCCTCAGGTGTGCCACTGTGAGCAGGGGAGATGTGGAAGCAGGGTCACGCCATACCTGACCTGTCCGAGTATAAATGAGAAGTACAGCTGTGCTTCAACCCTGACACTATCTGCCACTCTTCATAGTTTTTCCTCTTCAATCATATTTCCTGTGAAATAGGTGGTAAAAAGCAAGAGTGTATGTGAGTGTGCAAGTGTGTGTGAATGAATGTAGCGTGGGTGTACAAGGTGATAATGATGGTTTGTCCAGATTATTGTGATAAAAAATAATATAAATTTAGGTTCCTTCTTGGCAGAATAGTAGAGTCTTTGCTTAATGAAAACAAGACTCCCACAAGCAAGGCTTTAGAATTCCTGAGGAAATCCTACAGGAAAAAATGCTTTATTTGGTAGGTTATTGTATTTAACATATTCTGATGTATTGAGTAATGTGGTAGATACACCTTAGTAACTTGAGTTAATTTCGTACTCCAAAAGTACGACGTTTCTAAGGGATGATTTAGTCTGTGGATTCCCAGCCTTTAGGGTCTCAGATTTTTTCTCTGAGAAATCCTGTGAAAAAGGCACATAGGGTCTTGGCGCGTCACAGTGTCCAGCATGCCCCCGTATCCACATTCATTCACCCTCACCTCGTGCTCTCTTCCTGTCTGTCACCAACAGACTAGAGCTGTGGCGCAGAGGGGTGCAGCCCTCCATCCTGGGGGACTCGTGGGGACTCATAGCCTCTATCTGATATTGAAAAATAACCTACACGGTTAGATCGTTAGAGTTGCTTGTACTCGACTTTGGAGAAAATCATGTAGATGAGGGGCCATTCTAGTAGTATCTTCTCTAAAACTGAGAAAACAGGACCAAAAAGTGAAAAGAGAATTTCATAACCTCAATTTAAGTGAACAGAATGTCATGACCTTGGCGGTGGCTTTTCATTTGACATTCTCTAAATTCGAATACAAGAAAGTTGACGTGAGTGATCTGGTCGTTCACATGCGCATAAAGTATATGAACATCATCCTAGTTCATGGTAATACGAAAGGGAAATTCTAGGTGACGGTAGGAAAATTACTTGAAGGCAGCAGTGACATAGGCTGTGGGCAATTCAAACCACAAGGTTTTAAGATGAGTATTGCACTCTCCCAACTGTATTGTAGCATCTCGGCCGGTGGAACCCCAGCACCCTGTCCCCTCTCCCACGGCTTGCTCTCCCCATGGGGTTCATGGCCGTGGTGGCCGTAGTGGCCTGGCAGAGCTGCTCCTGACATTAGAAGAGTCAGTGCAATAAGAGTGGCATTACCATATGTAGTTTCTCCTCTGTGAGAAGTTTCTTGGGTTACAGATTCTTACTGAGCCTGAGTTTGTGAGCAGTTCTGTTTGGCCCGTGTTCTGTTCGCTGGCCACGCTACAGAAAAGACTGGTTAGGCACTCACCTCCTGAAGATGTAAAAGACCCTAGCTGCGTTCTCACAAGGAGAGTTAACTGAATTGTTGGGATGTCAAAGTTGGATGAAATTTCAAAGGAAGTTAATATGGGTAAGGATATTTTCTGGAAAGAATCAATATCTTTTTTTAAATTTTGGATTTTAGAGAGTTAGGAAATTGGATCAGTGTTACCTAGTCTTTCCACAAGGGAGGATAACCAGACTGCTGCTTATCAGAACTCCACGACCATATCCCAGTGCATCATTCCCCTGGCGCCTGCCACTCCTGGGTCAGGCACTTGCTCACTCAGATCTAGCAGGTGGTGGGGGGGCCGGTTGGCCAGGAAGACCCAGTTCAGCCCCCTGGCTCAACTTCCCAGGGACGGAGCTCAGTCTAAGGTCGCCTAGAAAGGGTTGGGTGAGGCGTTACTGGTGGCCAGCAAGGACTCACTGTGGAGAGATGAGAAGGTGATAGTGGTGGGTAAATGTACCTTTGAAAGACCTAAAGGCTTTACAATCTGAGATGGTTGTTGTTACCTGAAAAGATTTGTTTTAATTTTGTATAGACATATGTGTGTATAATATATATTGTGGAAGAAAGTCCAGGTTTTTCAGAAGTAGTAAAAGTTAACTGGCTCAATGCAAGGTTTATTTGTTATGATACTATTTTATAATGATGCAGAACTACCATACAGGTTATGATGAGGAAGTAAATTGCGGTCACTACCCTAGTGAGCAGAGTATTCAGACGAAACTGTGGAAGGCAGACAGTAAGCACATACCCATAGTAGTTGTGCTTTCACATTACAATTGAACAAAAAGATTTTGTTCATATAGACAATTCAGGGCAGGCGGTTGTCAACATACAGTGGCCCACAGGGGTCACAGTTTATACGTGAGGGACCCTCACAGTGAGTCTGCCTTACGAGTGTCCCCCTTGTCCTCATCTGGGAAGGAAATGTATTCCAGGATTCCATCCTGGAATCCCCCATTGGCATTCAGATTCCATCGTCTCAGAAATACGTGGTTCTAAAGCATGGTTTGGGCTCTTGGTTAACCCTCGGAACCCAGCCACCCTGTTGAACATTGTTTCTATTTATTTTTTTAAGTGCAGTCTAAGCTTCCAAAACTGGCTCTCAGAAGGAGCACAAACTTGTGGACACTGGAGTTGCCTCGATGCCAGGCTGAAATAGGATTTCATATCTCCATTTAAAAATGAACTGGATTGCAGTTATGACCTTGGACATGGCTATTTACCTGGCACTCCCTGCATTTGAATAAAGGAACTTAGATGTGAGCAATACAGTCACTTATATGCATAGCACTGGCTGGCTTCATGTCTCCTCTACATTCATTTTAATTGAAACATTAGTTTAACATTTCTCTTTAGTTCCAGTAATGCATAGCTAACTAGTAGTAGTGCAGGGTTATTTTACAAGGTCTAGCAGTCCCTGTTTTTCCCCACCTGACTCTCTGGAAGTGTAGTTCATTATATATCAACCTTCACGGGCTGTGAGCACGGATAGAAGACGCTCACCTGTGCTCTAAAGCACTTAGTGACAGATGCATTATGGGAGACTTCCCTTTGGTTTCAGCTCTATCTCTTAGCAGTATCAGCAATGCCTCCTTTCACAAATATTGACTCAAAAGAGGGTTGGGAGTGGTGGGGGGTGGGAAAGAAAAGGAAGTGCACTGTTTTAATAGTGTTCACTGCAGTGAATTACCTGCTAGATCAATGAACCATGTGCTTGGGCCATTAATGAAGATGTTTTAATAAAAACTTTCAAAAAGAAAAAGGAGATTTTCTTTAAAGACTTTTATATTTGATATCTCAAAAGAGAAGCATCAAAGTGGTCATTTTGGGGAAAATCTAAGAACTTTACAGGACGCCTTTATACCTATTTTGAGCTTTGCTATTGTTTTTAGTTTGAATTACCTAGTGGGGAGGAGGAATATACTATAATCTTTTCGGTATGTAGGGCTGGAAGGGCATCCAGCTGGCCCCGAGAGAGTGGGCAGGGGAGTGAGGGCTCCTGGGGACTCCTAGGTCTCCAGTTTTGCATGATGCCTTGGTGGCAGCGGTGTTGCACCCGCCCAGTGCGCAGATTAAATGCATGAGCCCCCTTGCTTGATGCCCCACATGAAACCAGACCAAGGGGAGGTTGCAGCCAACTTTTGTTGTTGCCTTGTACAAGTGTCTTGCTGGTTCTCTTCTCTTTTTAAACATAGGAACCACTTGTCAGGAGACTGGACACTGTGAGCAAGGCTTTACCTTGCTTCCTTCAACTAAGCTAATTTTAACTTGCTTCCTCCAACTAAGCTAATCTGCTGCATTTGCTTAACTAACCTGAGCCTGTGTCCATTCTCCTCTGAGTGTACTGTCTTCCTGTGCACTCTGGTTTTCGACTTTCTAGACGTGCTTGTTCCATGGCGTGGTAATTGCTCACTCAGCCAAGGCAGCAAGATAACTAAGTAGAATGAGGCTTTTTGCCCTCTTGGCAAAGGCTGATGCACTGATCCTGAACTCTCAGGTCCTGGAGGGGATCAGCTGCAAGACCTTCAGAGTTTATCTTAGTTCTCAAGTCTCCTAAGTGAAAGAGCCCTCCATATCATCGTTTTCATCTAGTCACAATTAGTCATGCCAATTACTTCTGAAATAAGAGACACATTGGGCTGCTGAGACTTCCAATGATTTAAAAGGAACAACTTGAAGCTTCTTTTGGTCTTCACAAATGGGTATATTCTAGTGGGGATGTGAAGACATTCAAAAGTGTGAGGTATTCTGTGTTTCCATTGCAAGCTCGTTTCGGAAAATCTGCCTTGGTTTGGGCTGATTACTTTGCTCTGGAACTAGCATTGTCATTATCACCACCCTTCCCTCATCATGATCTGATTAATATTGTGGATTTTTCCCCCCTCTGCTTGCATCTCTGGCGCATTCGGGAAGAAATGTCAAGAAGAGGAGGTTCGATCCTACTCAGCAAGGCCCCATCTGAATCAGCTGTGCTGGGTGAACAACAGTGCCTCGCACTGTTGGATTCTGGGTATGACATACTTTCAATGACATTGCCAGAACTCTTAAGCCTGTAAACAAGAACATTGGGTGGTCATGACTACAGAACTCAAGTTGGGGTGACAAGGATGAGGTAAAAGAAAACTGTCCTTTTTTGGAAATCATTTCAAAGAACTCCTCCCACCACCTGTCAATAAAAGGGAGACAAAAGACAATGTTATAAAAAGAACTATTTGAGGATTTCTTTTCCCAACTAAAGGTCTGAAGAAGGAACAACAAAAATTAAGTGCAATAAAAAGAACCATTAAAAATAACAAATGATTTTTTTTTCCTTCCTCAGCCTGCCGGCACTTAGTATCTTATAAATGATCTGGCATGATTTTTTCTTTTCCTACCAATGACACACTCCAGTGGCATGAAGATCTCATTCTGGAAAGGGTAAAATCTGCATGGCATATCTACAACAAGCAGCTAGCAAGCCAATCCGCAGCAAAACTTGCACCTGAATTCCTAAGGTGGAGATGACAGAGGAACATGAGGAAGTGGCCTGGCCCCCTCCCCCTAGTCTAAACCAGACCGTGAACTCCAGAGACCCCTGCTCTTGTGATTCACCTTCCCATTGTCTTTTCTCCTGGGCTGAGCAGCCTTTGGAAGTGGGAGTCGGAGTTTGAGCGTTGATGCTATTGTATAGTTCTTTTATAAATGTAAATATGGAAAAAGATTTTGACATATCAACGTTCACTTGTCTGTATTGAAATATTTTCCTTGTAAAGGTTCTCTGTAAATTTGAGTCTGTTGTTTGCTCCCCATCTTTTTGGTTCCTTTTCTCTGTATAGACGTCTCTGTCCTTCTCTCTTGTAACATGTTGTACAGTGACTGTTGGGCTCTCTTAAAAAAGACAGGTGTAGTCACCGATGCAGGGAGTTTGGGCACAAACCGGGTGCGATTTAGGAATGAAATGCTCGAATGGCATGAAATGCTTTGAAACCAAAAATAAACAGAAGGTGGGGGGACACAAAACAAACAACCCATATTAAAAACACAAAAATTATGTAAGTGGAAGTATATGTACGGATAAGTCTCTAAAAGTTTTTGATGTCATTATAAACCTATGTATATAATGTAAGAAAGTAGACACCCTCTCAAATTAATCACAAAAGTGCCAAGCTCACAATTTTAGTTTTTGGTTCTGACAATTTTTCCCCCTGTCTTTAATGTGAAAGGAGGATAAACTTAAAGCCTTAAATTTAAAAAAAATTCAATGTTGAAAGCTTGGGAAAAAGTTAAGCTTTCCATCTTATTCATCTCTATTACTGTCAATATTTCTTTCATGCTTCATCATACTGCCTTGAAATACATATGGTAGAAGCCCACTGTCAAACCGGACATGGAGGCAGACAGCACTGACCTTCTGGTGAGTGCCGTTGGAACGCCCACGGGGCGCTGCTGATCTGTGCATCGCTGCGCCGGGTTACAGCGGGGTTCGACCACACACACCTTCCCCTCTTCCTTCCAGGCAGATTTGCAGGTGTAATCTGGGTTCCTGAGTCCCTCTGAGTTTAGGTCACTTTCACTGAGGTTTCTTCTTCCATAAATAGGGTCATCATCGCTTCTAGTCAAGTTAGTAAAGAAATTTGGCCCCGGCTTTGTTTTAAATGTAAAACTTGTCTCTGATCCCTTCAGTGAGTGTCCTTCTAGACATGAGCTCTCCTGAAAGACCCCCAAGCACCCATAGTTCTCTAATGTCCTCTTTTTAAGAACAGGACATCAATTATACTGTTCACTTCGTGACAGCCAAGTCAGATAGCTTTCAATCCCTTTTCAGCAGGATTCATGACACTAGTCTCACCACTTTGGCTTTGACTTCGGAAAGGATTATGGCCTAAAAATGTACTGCTTGAAACAGTGTGGGTTTTTTTCCCCCATGTATTTTCAATTGTGGAAGTATCACAGTTATAGAGCAAGAAACCTTGATTTCTGTATGCTACAATAGACCATAAGCTAACATCTTAATCCTGTTGTTGCTTCCTGAGTACTAGGTGCTACACCAGTATGCAGCCTTTCTCTAGAAATAGCTACATGTTTATATTGCAATAACAGGGTTCTCTGCAAGGTGTACCAGCCTTACTCTTGGCTTCACCAGACACAGGTTGTATGTCCCCCCTCCCTAGTGGCAGTGGCTCTTTCACCTCCGAGGAAACTCAGATTACTCAGCATCTCTTCCCATCACTGCATCGTGTGTGTCTCTCTGTTGCTGGATCCTGCTCACTAGTGGATGCGAAACCACTGCTGAGCGCACCATGTACATTTCACTGCTCTTCCAGATGCACCAGGTGACTTAATAGAAACAAAACCATGGTGGTTACAAAACCAGTTCAATCTTTATTATCAACTTTTGAGCATTTCACAAACAACATTGTAAATGTGCGATGTTATGTTTTAAATCAGACCACAGTGGTCCCCAAATATTATGTACATATGGCAAATGTCAGTGTAACTTTTCGTTACACCGGCAGTTTCATAGGTAACCAAACCTATGCTCCAATGTCCAATTGTTTGTGTGTATATGTAAAATGCACAAGCTTTAAGCTGTGTGTGTATGAATATGAAAGAGTATGCAACCATACCAATCGTGAACAATGGATTATAATTATTTTTGGTGGTATTAGGTTATGTAGTTTCAAACTCTGCTGTGTTTTCTCTTGCCCATGCCATTCATTTGCTGATTTTTGTGGTGTGAATAATTGCTTATTAATTTGAGCTCAAAGCACAAGCATATCACTGTTTAATGTTACCCAACGAGAGTTAGTGTTCAGTAATGACAAGTTCCCATTTCACCCACTACACTCCTGCTGCATTAACCAACGACACACGGACGAGGAGATGCACGCTGACTTCATCGCTCACCTGGGACACTGCATGAGCCCCCTGACCTAGAGCTACTCCTATTAGATAAGTGAGCAGTACACATAGGTGCATGTTCTGAAACACGAATCACATAGAGCCGTGGAGTTCTACCAAGTGGTATGTGTGGTTTTGGTTTTTGTTTTTTGTTTTACTATGCAAAGATGGGAAATGCACAACTTTTCAAAGACTAGTGTCTGGAGAACTTTACAAACAATACTTGAACCCTTTCTTTCAAGTCATCCCATCCTATTTGGTAGCTGTGGCTTCCATGGTTGATTTTCATTTTTTACACGGTTTGTAATTTTTTAAGTGCATCACCTGAAGTTTTGTTTGAATAAATTCATTCATAATCTTGTTGGCTGCCCTTGAATGGAGATTCAGTACTCACTGTATGCATCTTTCAGTCAAGTCTGTATTAAAACCTTGGTTAATGTAAATGCTGTAGCTTTATACTTTGGTCATTTTTCATACCCCCTTTTCTGTGTTTTCTTGTATTGTTGAATAAACAGCCATGTGCCTGATACCATCAAGAGTTTTAGCACAGGTCTCTTAATCGAAGACTCCCTGAAAATTTAAGCAGTCAATGGAGCAAAATAAAATCTCTGATTAATGATAAATATATTCTTCCTGTTTAGGACTCAGTTTCATTGGGTTTAATGGAAATGCTTTGCTTCTCATCAATCAGAGGAAAAAAACCACTATAGAATCATCATGACCAATTTTTATTTGTTTAGTGCCTCTCTTCTGAGTTTAAAGAGGGTGGCTGTTAATGACGTCCACACTTTTGACCTGATACCAAATTGACAGTCAAGCTGTGAAGAAATTAGAAGTGTCGGTTATACAAACTGCATTCCCGGAAACATTGGAAGGAGGGTGTTTCCTCCCGTGCAGTTGTTCATCAGACAGTATTCATGAATGTCTTTTTGCCTGCCTCCTCGCCACCTCCACCGCCATCCCTTGGTTTGGCACCAGGAGCCCCGGTGCCTTGTGGATCTCCTGCCCTGGCACAGACAGAGGCTAATCTGACCACACTGCTCCTCTGAGGAACGTTTGTAGGGGCCTCCCAAGTCCAAACCTAACAATGGGACAAACTTCTGCCTGCTTTTTGGGATGTCGGCCTTCTTTATTTAGCCTTCATTGGCTCTTATTCTCCAATAGGCACCCTACTTAAAGATCCCCTTGAAGAGCCTCTTCCACCCAGGGCTGAATAATCGTACGTAAATTTTATGTCCACTCACCACAGTCCATTTGTCAGTTCATGTAATAAAAATATAGAAATACTTAAAAAAACATGAATATTATACTTTAAATAAGAAAAGTATATTAGAGTGTCGTGTATGTTTGATTTTAAAGAAGAATTACCTGGTTTTTGATAGGTTTTCCTTCCAGTCATTCTGTTTTGGAGGTTGACACTGAAATGAGTTCTACTCCATGACCCCTTGGTGACTGACTGAGAAAAGGGACCCAGAAACCAGAACTCCCTAGAGAATAGAACAAGAGCCCTAGAGTTAAGTCTTTGATGCAAATAATTAAGTAGAAAATCCATATGCTCACCGTGGAATTCCTAGGTAACCTAAAATTTAAGATAGGCATCCGTTAGGTTACTGTGCAGGGATTAGGGACGGCTACTCAATGATTTATTAATTCAACCAATATTTATTAAACCTGTATGCCAGGAACTCCTCCTAGGAATTAAAGGGACAAAAACCAGTTCTTGGCCCAAGGTGCTGACCATTTAGCTGGGAGATAACACCTGACAAATTAAATTGTGATCGAGAGTAAAAACTTCCGAGGTGCAAGTGGGGAAGGATGCAGAAAGGCTTCCTGAAAGAAGTGAGTTTTGAAATGTCTTGAAGGATGACAAGAGATCACCAGTCTAACAAAGCGGGAAACACACCCAAGGCTCAGAAAGCAACATGTGTCAACAGCCAGGAGGAGGAGCTCAGACCCTTGGGGTAAGTAAGGCTGTGCAGCTCATCCATCTGGCCTGTGTTTCCTTCCACCCTCCTTCCTACACTCCCTCCTTTCTTTCCTCCCTGCCTTTCACAAACACTCAGTCTTTAAAACTCCTTCACTGCTCTGCTGGGTCTCAAGGACACAGTGATGAGCTCTCAAATCTTGTAAGCAATATGCAGCATGTCAATACAATGTGATAAGTGCCCACACAAGAAGTATTAGGTGCTTCAGGAGGAGAGAGGAGGGAGACTCTAACCCTGCCCTTGAGCTCAAGGAGGGTTTGGCAGAGGACGGGGAATGTGAGCAGAAAGCTGTGCAATTGGACCCAATACCATGATCACTCATTGTTATGTGTCACCTGGGCTGGAAGGTTGGTGGAAGTCCGTAGGTGCCTTGGGGGAAGAACAACCTGTGATGTTCAGTCTAACTTTCTACTTCAGATATCTGGATTCCTTTCGCTTGTGTGAAGATGATTACCAGGTTGTCCATCAGAGGCTTATATTTCTAGATATTGTGCACTCCTCATGGATCAGTCTTAAATGTCTGGTGCTGTCAGTGATGACAAAGAGGGCCTTTTGACCTGACCTGTGAACTGTGATATTTTCTTAACACAAAGACCCCTGGCTAATTTCAATCTGGAGTGAGGGGGGTGGAGAAGAGCCATAAATGCTTTTAAAGCATCATTTAATAAGTCCTTCAATTAATGAAGGGTCAAAATCATTTTTCCAAGTGTAGCTTCACTTCTAGTCCACTAAAGTTAATGTTTCTCTGTCTAAGGACTTGGAGAGAAGTTTACCTACCTTTCCTCAGTCTTTTCAGAAACCTATCAACAGGTCCAGCCCTTTGACTACAAATTCTAAGCTGCATATATAACCTCCAGAGAGAAGGGAAATGCCATGGTTCCTCATTACCTGAAAATAGTGGTCCTGCTGGGAACCAGTGATGCTCCTTTGCCAGCTGATTGCCTGTGTGTGCTGCACTCATCGTGGTGTGGCTGCAAAGGTTGCACTTGGGACCCCACAGAGTCCACCCTGTGAGAACATTGATTTGATGTGATGAAAGCCAAATAAGCCAAGTGAATCGATTGGGCCTGCAAAAAACAAGGCAAAACAAAGCACAACAAGAAAGTCTTCCTCCTGAATGTAGTGTATCAAGGAGTGTATCAAGAGTTCTTCAGATCTCTTTGGAGCTCGAAATAGCTTCCAGCCTCAGGGGGTAAATGAGCTTGCAGCAGAGTTCCTGGCTGTGTCAGGTCTCAGGGTGAAGACAGAAAAAGGTAACTTGGATGGTAAATGACATCAGGGGCCCTTTGTCCTGCAGCAACAGATACAGCTTTGCAGAGTCATTGTAACTCCTGTAGAAATAGTGAATGGATTGTAGGCAGGAGGTTTAACCTGCTTTTTTTTGTGTAGGCAAAATAGCTATAAAGCTCAATGACAAACCCTAAGGTCTGCAGAAGCCAATTACCAAAATGAGCAGAAGAACCCGGTATAGGGGACAAGACGGGTAAGGGAGACGGAGCTGAGCTGGAGAGCATGTGCCGTCTCCACTCATCTCTGGCCAACTGTCTCCATGTGGAGAACTGGGTCCTTCGTTGCCCCTTCCCTTTATTTTTCTAGAGAAGCCAGAAATCCATATTTGTATATATGTTTTCCATTTTTTTAAATTATGCAGCCAATTCACATTTTGAGGACACTGTGGATCAAGGAGGCGCAGACAGAACCTGTCTTAGCGTAGGATTAAGCCTGTTGGCCCCTGATATGTAATTCCTGCATACATTACTGAGACACCTTCATGTGTGGCCCCTGGAATTGTCCGATAGCTCCAGTGAGTACAGGGACATAGCCCTGCTCCAGTCCAGCTGCAGTGGAAAAGGGCCTTCTTGTGAGTTGCCACTTACAGTGTTGACTTGCTGTTATTTTGCTTGGATGTGGAGCGGGCACTGAAAGCCACAGTATTGAAGGCCGCCTGTGTGAAGATTTTTCCTTTCAGTGGTGTTTTGTGTGCTAAGCTTATTCAGATGTGCTGCACTGTGGGAGAACAAAGCCTGTATTGGCAAGTAGGCTTTGTCTCCATGCACATTCCTCAATGCTCACTGAGGCTTTGTCGCAGTGCTCACTAAGGCAGTTTAGTGGCTGCCTGGACCCCAAGCCATACATGCCATTGGTTAGAAAGGATGCTGAGATTGATTATGGATGTCTGCTACCTAGCAACCACGGTATCTGACTAGATCCACACAAATCTTAACATGGTCGTTCTTTTAGTCTTTGATTCTCGCCAGTTGGATGTAGGGATGAACCAGCCAATCTGGCCAATCCAGAGGTCCCTATGTAATGTTCTGGATCCAGAGAAAAATGGAAGAGATCCTGAAGCAAAGGAATGCAGAAGCTGAAAAGTCAAGCAAGAAGAAAAGTTAAATTTTAATTTTTGTTTTTTTCTGATTAATCATGAAAATCTACATGTTTATTGCAGAGAATTTGGAAAACAAACAAAAACTAAACAATAAAATGACTATAATCCAATCATCAAGATAGAACTTTCATTAATACTTTTTTCATTTCTTGAACCTTTATTTTGTTTCTTCCCGCCACCACCGAATCAGCCCACAAAGGCAGGCAGCGAGCGGGTTTCCCGGGGATCTGTTTTCATCTCCCTGCTTATTTCCATGTGTGCGTCTCCTGTGCACCAGGCTCTATGTTCTCCTGGCTCCAGGAATGTGGAAATGGGGGGCACACTCAAATCCTTAAGGCAAACAAATACTGTCTAGCCTCTCAGTCCTGGCTCAGCCTGTTCCCTCTGCTGGGAAGACGTCTTCTCTCTCCCAGAGCCCCGAATTCCTATGCATCCCTAAATGTCACCTCAGATGTTACCTCCTTCACAGAGTCCTGATCCTTCCACAGCTTTCTAGGTGGGTACAGGGAGAGTGGGAGCTCCATCAGTGGTGGTGCTGGGGTGAAACGCCAGGTGTTTGGGGCTCCAGAGTCCAGGCTGTAATAACCACGGCACTTGATCGCCCCGCTTCTGGTCCCACTTTACAGTTGAGAACAATCAAATTTGAAGAGGTCTGACACCTTCCTTGAGATCACCTTTCTGGTAAGTGCCAGGGCCAGATTCAGGACCCAGCTAGGGCAATTCAGGATCCTTTTCTGAAGCCAGGAGAACATGAAACAGGATATTTGACACGCAAAGATGAGCAGGAGGGTGAAAGCTGTAGCTCCTCGTGGAGAACCACTTGCTTCTCTTTGTGGGCTGCTCCTGCTAGGCCTTGGCCAGCAGCACACGGAGACCGGGGTGGGGAGGTGTCCAGGTTTAGAGGGCCTGCATTATGAAAACTTTACTCCCTGAGTGTACTTCCTAAGCTTTTATTAGAACTAGCTAGAGAGAGGACAGCAAAACTGAAGGAAAAGGCTGAAAACTTATTCCTACAGCACCCCTCCTGTGAGAAAGTATGTTAAGAGTATGTTAACGGATTGGAAATATCTGCAAGACATTAAGTGAGAGAAAAAATGGGATTTTTCTGGTTGCTTTGATGAGTGAAACAGTTTCGTCTTACAAAACTGATGAGCG